CGCGCTCACGGCGCGCCCCGCCCTTCCCCTTCCTCTGCGGCCGGCGCTCTGAGGTGAGGAGCCATGATCGGGTGGTCCCGCGGTGGCCGCCGCCATCCGCCCCCATCCCGTCCCATCCCCGCCGGCACTGGCCTCCCGGACACCGGGATCGCTGCGACATGCGCGGCGCCCGCGGTATTCCCCGGGATGGCGCGCGGGAGGGGGCGGGCGCGGAATCGGGGAAGGGACAGGCCTGAGGAAATTAATGGCTGCGATGATGACTTTCTTAGGACACCTTTGGATGTAACTATGAAAAGAACGCGTAATTCCTGAGCAGCTGCGGCAGTAAGAGAACAGTCCAGATCCTGCCTGCCATTGTTGGAAGTTTAATATGTTTTAATTGGTGTTTTTCAGCTGAGCTCTCAAGATGGTGCGCTACTCCCTGGATCCGGAGAACCCCACGAAATGTGAGTTGCTGTTCTAGGAGCGTTCGTGTGGGATTGCACGGAAGCCAGTGAGATTTTGATTCTAAAACTTGGTCTTTTCTCTCTTGCAGCATGCAAGTCACGGGGATCTAACCTGCGTGTGCACTTCAAGGTAAGGAGTGTGTGATTAGCGGGAATTTTAAATTCAATTGCTGTTTTACTTGGTTTTTTTTTTTTGTTAGTTTTTTGTTGTTATTTTTTAAAAGAAGCCCTGATTGGCTTGGATTGAAAGGGATTGTAAGGAAAATCCCCTTCCACCCTCTGCCGTGGTTAGGGTCTGGGCTCCCGTCCATCGTGGCCCTGAACACTTCAGGGATTCAGGGGCAGCCCCAGCTGCTCTGGGCACCCTGTGCCAGGGCCTGCCCACCCTCCCAGCCAGCAATTCCTTCCCAATATCCCATCTAAATCCTTTTTTTAAAGAAGTGTATTTTACTCTTCAGTCATTAAAGAAATCCTGTTAGCTGCTTGTAGTTGTCTTCATCCACAGAAAATAAGGAGTCTGGATCCTAAAACTGTCCTTTCTAATTCAAGTAACAAAACTCAGCAGATAAACAGTTGGAGTGAATTTATCAGGCACTGGGCTAGTGTTTTGCATGAAATTTCTTTCATTTCTCTCTCTTTTTGGTTGTGTGGTGTTTGGCACAAGGGCCTCAGTTCCTCTGAAAAAGGCTGGGGTGCAGAAATTTATTCAGAAGTGCTATTTAATCACATTCAAATTAGAATTCAGCAAATCATGTTCTGCTTAGTATTATACAAAGTTTTCACTTTGATTCTTTTTTTTATTATGAACAGGTAGGATTATAGTTAGAACTGGCTTATGCAATTAGTAAATTCTGTTTAGAAAACTGATCTTTTATCCTTAACTTTTTTTTTTTGAGCCTTTTCTTCTCTTAAAATTCCTTCAGAGAAAATAACATTGTTAACATGGCTTTTTAATAAGAGTTGATCCATCCAGATCTTGCTTTTTTTAGATTAGTGGCCAAACAGGAAATAGAAGAAGTGTAAGTACTACAATTTTATTAAGAGTAACAAGTTTTCTGGTTAAATTTACCCTCTAGGTTAAAAAAAAAGGTTAAAAAAAAAAGTGCTGGAGCTACAGATTCATTAGTGGCAGTCATACCAACAGTTAGAAGAGCAAGTAACAAAACAAAAAAGTATTAATTACTTTTCATTCTTTGACTTAGGTCTTATTTTTTTGTAAGTGCTTCCTTGGTAGCCAAAAGAATTGTATCCAGGGAGGACAGAGGAGTGGTTGTGCTGATGCTGTCTCTTGGAAAGATTTCTTCAGAGCATCTTTTCTGTGCCTTGTGTTGGTAGAACACCCGAGAGACCGCGCAGGCCATCAAGGGCATGCACATTCGCAAGGCCACCAAGTACCTGAAGGATGTCACCCTGAAGAAGCAGTGTGTCCCCTTCCGGCGCTACAATGGCGGTGTCGGGAGGTGCGCCCAGGTGAGCTCCTGGGAAACTTGGCAAGGAGCCTTTGGCTGTGGGTGCTAAAGACGAAAAGGTGATGTAAGGGATGGTGTGGACGTAGTCTGTCACTGCTGATGGTAAGTTTGCAGTAAAACACAGAATCACAGGGTGGTTTTGGTTGGAAGGGACCTCAGAGCTCATCTCACTCCAGTACCCTGCCATGGGGGACACTTTCCACCAGAGCAGGTTGCTCAAAAGGAAGAAAAGAGTGGTTGTTAATTCCAGAAGATTCATCTGCTTGGCAGTCTTAGAGTCTGCATCTAGTTGGCAGCATAAAGTCAAGGGATTATATTTTGTTTGGTTTGGTCCACAGCAAAATAGAATAGATTATAATCCATTCTAATCCATAAAATACGATCCTCAGCACGGGAAGGACATTGATCTGCTGGAGCCAGCCCAGAGGAGGCCACGCAGCTGCTGCCAGGGCTGGAGCCCCTCTGCTCTGGAGCCAGCCTGGGAGAGCTGGGGCTGCTCCCCTGCACAAGAGAAGGCTCCAGGGAGAGCTGAGAGCCCCTGGCAGGGCCTAAAGGGGCTCCAGGAGAGCTGCCCAGGGACTGGGGACAAGGCCTGCAGGGACAGCACACAGGCAATGGCTTCCCAGTGCCAGAGGGCAGGCCCAGCTGGGATATTGGGAAGGAATTGCTGGCTGGGAGGGTGGGCAGGCCCTGGCACAGGGTGCCCAGAGCAGCTGGGGCTGCCCCTGGATCCCTGCAGTGTCCAAGGCCAGGCTGGACATTGGGGCTTGAAGCAGCCTGGGACAGTGGAAGGTGTCACTGACGTGACAGGGAGTGGGACTGGATGAGCTTTAGGGTTTCCTCCAACCCAAACCATTCCATGATAATGGCAAGTTAAAGGTATATAAAAGGCAACTTAAATTGCTTTGTACCTGGTCAAAAGCAGGATTCTCATTGTTCTCTGATTCCAGGCCAAGCAGTGGGGCTGGACACAGGGCCGCTGGCCCAAGAAGAGCGCAGAGTTCTTGCTGCACATGCTGAAGAACGCGGAGAGCAACGCTGAGCTCAAGGTGTGTGTTACTGAGCACAAAGTAGCGGTGTCACTGTCAGCACCTGTTTCTTGGGTGTCACTGACCTGGAGAGCCACTTGAAACCTGCTTTGTCCACAAAACTGAATCGTGTGGAGGCTTTGGTGTGGCTCCCTGTTTGAAGTAGGCTACCTGTGTCTTTCAAGTTAAAATGGCAGCAACAGTTTTTCACAGGGAAAAACTAAATTAAAAACTTTTCACACGAAAGGGTTGTTCATATCTTTAAAAATCTGAAACTGAATTCTGCAGACTCTTGGTCAGTTGCTGTCTTCGTTAAAGTGCTTAATTTGGTAGCTTTGTTTACAGTGTTGGAGTAATAGGTGACTCCTTTCAGTAACCATGAAATAACCATAGACAAAGAGCCATCAGCATCATTTTAAGTTGCTTGTGATGTGTGCAGGGTGGTCTTTGTGATTTTTAAATGGCACTTGTTTGGTAAGTCCACATCTCCCATGACACTGCCAAGCTCAGCAGTTCCATTGGCAGATCCTTGGACAATCCTCAGCTCCATGGCATCACCAAGCTTGGCTGTGTCAGTGATGAACCCTTGGAAAACCTCAGTGCCATGACACCACAAGGCCTGCCTGTGTTAGTGGTAAATCCTTGGAAAACCATCAGCTCCGTGATGCCACCAAGCCGGGGCGTTTCACTGACCAGCAGTGGTGTCTGGGATGATCACTCATGTGTTCACTGCAAAGATGAATTATTTAAAGATGAGAATGGGTCACAGATGTTCTTGCTTGCCAGGGTCTCGATGTGGACTCCCTGGTCATTGAGCACATCCAGGTGAACAAGGCTCCCAAGATGCGCCGGCGCACATACCGGGCACATGGCAGGATCAACCCCTACATGAGCTCCCCGTGCCACATCGAGATGATCCTCACGGAGAAGGAGCAGATCGTGCCCAAGCCAGAGGAGGAAGTTGCCCAGAAGAAGAAGGTACTGCGTGTCGTGTGCCTTGTTCCTGTAACACTGTTGGGAGAGCCAGGGGTCTGGCAGAGAGGGGTTGCTGTGATGACCATCTTAGGACACCTTTGGAATTCCCATGAAAAAAAGTAACTTGTTTCTGAGCAACCCCAAGCGCTTGACAACCCTGAGAACCATTTTTTAATTGCACAGAGGGTTTGTTCTTTCCTCCCTCAAAGCAGCTACAGCATTCCCAGCTTGTGTGAATGAACCCTGGGTGTGTGCAATGAAAAAAGTTTAATTTGGAGCCTACAAGCAATGTAGTGGTTGTAGGGATTCCTGATCCTGTGCAGGTGTGATGAGTGTATCATTCGTGAGGGAGTTCCTGACAGTTCACAGCACGTCTGAAAGATAACTTTGTGATGTTTCATTGCACCATTTTCTTCTGTGTTTGTTTCCCAGATCTCCCAGAAGAAGCTGAAGAAGCAAAAGCTAATGGCTCGGGAGTAAATCTGCATGGACAGATGTACATAAATAAAACTTTAAAGTTTGGATTGATTGTGTTGCTCTGCTCTAAGTTCTGACCTGGTGCTGGGCATTTCTGTGGGACAGGGGCAGTGAATATTATATAATCATAGAATGGTTTGGCTGGGATTTTTAAGGGCATCCAGTGCCACCCCCTGCCATGGGCAGGGACAGCTTCCAGTGTCCCAGGCTGCTCCAAGCCCTGTCCAGCCTGGCCTTGGACACTGCAGGGATCCAGGGGCAGCCCCAGCTGCTCTGGGCACCCTGTGCCAGGGCCTGCCCACCCTCCCAGCCAGGAATAACCAATATCGGACCTTCACGCCAAGCCGCGTGTTTCCCGCGGGGCTGCCGGCGCCATCCCACCGTTCCCCCCTTTCCCAAATCCCGGATAATCGGGAATCCTGGCTTGGTCCCTGTCCCCGCGGGTGGGGGCGGGGCCTGGCGCGCCACGTGATGCGCGCTGCCGCCTGCTATTGGCCGGAAGCACCGCCCCGGAAGCGCGGGGCTGTTCCGGTGCGGGCTCAGGTGGGTGCGGAGCGCCGGGAGCACCGGGAGCAGGGAATGATCCCCGCATCCCACCTCACCCTGCCCTGCGCACCCCGCCCCGCTCCGCACGGCCCGCGCGGGCCCGGTGGCGCCGGTAACGGGGGGCTCACGGACCGTACCGGCCCCAACCGCCCTCGGAGAGCAGAACAGCAACGCCTGATGTGAGCCAGCCTCCTTGGCTGGCTCGTCCTTTATGGAAAACGGGGAAAACCCTGCGGTTTTGCCCTTTGGGGCGTTTTCCGGCGGCTGGTGACGAAGCCGTGCCGTGCCGAGGTTTGCTGCCCCGCGGGTGGGGGCTCACGGGAGCAGCAGCACCGCCTGCCGCGGAAATTAACCCGCCGGCCACAGCCTCACCACCTCCGCTCTCCCTCTTGTTCTTCTTTCTCCCTGCTAACCAGGTGGCGGAGCATCACCAAGTCAGCGCAGGAATTCATCGGGACGGTGTTTCACCTTGATCCCAGGGACCGCTGGTGCATCAGGCGGAGGTACGGATGATTTTTGGTCAGGAATCTTGACACGAAGCGGCTGCAGAGGCAACACAACACGTGGTGTTTCCCTCGGAGGGAGCATGCAGGGACAGCACACAGGCAATGGCTTCCCAGTGCCAGAGGGCAGGCCCAGCTGGGATATTGGGAAGGAATTGCTGGCTGGGAGGGTGGGCAGGCCCTGGCACAGGGTGCCCAGAGCAGCTGGGGCTGCCCCTGGATCCCTGCAGTGTCCAAGGCCAGGCTGGACAGGGCTTGGAGCAGCCTGGCACACTGGAAGGTGTCCCCGTCCATGGCAGGGGATAGAAAAAAATTATTCTGAAGCTCTCTTTCGGCCTAGATAATTCTGTAGTGATTCTGCAGCCTGAGGTGTTCCCTCCACCCACTTTCTTAAGCTGCTGGATGAATCCACATTTTGCTGGAAATTTAATATTTAGGAAGCTCTAGTGGAGACAGTATCTGATTTTATTTTTTAAATTAATTTAACAGATTAACTAATTTGTGTTGTTTCAATATAACATTCTTCTCAGACTTCAGAGAGTAGATTTAAACTGTATTTGAAGCAGCCAGAAGAGAACCTGGAAGTAGCCAGCTGGAAACTGATACACTGTTTTTCCACAAGGCTAAAACTCTTCAGGATAGCTTGAAAAAAAAAAGCAAAACTGGTCCCTAGTGAAGCGTGTGCATCTGCTTCTTCATTCTCCATCTTGGAAAGCTTTTTTTTTTGCTTCTTAATGTGAGAACTGAGATGTCAGCAGCCTAGAGAGGAGGACTGTGAAGGGCAAAGTTGTGTGGCAGCAGAGTGTGTCTAATGTATTGTTCGTCAGCACTGGCAGGAACAGGTTTAACTGTTTAACTGCTTCCTCTCCCAGCTGGACCTCTCTGCCCCCTTGCTTTGCTTTCCTGCTTTTTTTTTAATCATAGACTCCAAGGTGCAAATTTTGAAGACTTGTGGGGTTTCAGGAAGAGGGCATGGTTCATTTTCTAATAGGTAATTGTATAGGGTTGGTCTGGGATCAAGTGGGGGCAGAAGAAAGTAACCCATATTCCAATTCTCTCAAATTCTGACTGGAATTTTTTTCCCCTTTCCCACTGTCCTGCCCTTCAGTGGTGGCAACCCATTGGATAGATTTCTGCTGTCTAATTTTTCCTTAAATAAAAATGGATTGAGCAAAACAAACCATTTGGACTCTTAATATAGCAGGCACTAAATAGCAGGGCTAATATTGGCAGCTTACTGCTTAAACTTTTTTGTGTGGTTTAAGCAGAAACTCTTTCCTGAATTTGTTTTGCTTAATTGCATCTGTAGGACTGATGAATTAATAGCAAACTGTTCTGGTTTTTCCGTTAAAATGCCAAGAATGTTCCCTTTGTTGGAGGCTTTATAATATTAGAACACACATAATTTTTGAAACTTCAGCAGCTAATTTATAATTAAAGAATAATCTACGTTTGAATATCAGATATGTGTTTTATTTACTGTGTAAATACCGTTTTCTCAGCTTCTGGCATACAAACACTGCTGCCCTAAGCTGTTTTTTCCCCCCCCCTCACCATCTCTCTGCCAGGGTAAGAAGGAGCCATGGTGTGCATTCCCTGCATCGTGATCCCTGTTCTGCTCTGGGTCTACAAGAAGTTCGTGGAGCCCTACATCTACCCCGTGATCGCGCCCTTCATCAAGCGCATCTGGCCCAAGAGGGCTGTGCAGGAGCCAGACAACTCCAGGCAGGGGCCAGGAGGCAGCACTGGGGACCCTCAGGGACCTGCAGCCGCCAAAAGAGACTGGGAGGATGAATCTGGAAGCCAAAAAGTAAGATTAATTCCCCCAGCTAAGCCGGGAAGCTCCGGGATGAGCCACCCAGTGGTAGCTCGGGGCAGGCACCACAGGAGGGTGAATAATTAATTCATTGGGTGTGTTTACAGATGTTTTGGTGGCTGTTTTCTTAGAAACAGCAATTACCACTACTGTGCCAGCTAGAAGTGGTTGCTTCAAGACAGCTTCTTGGTCTCAGAGGAATTGTGCCTGTATCCTGAAACAGCTTAATTATTATTATTTTTTAACAACTGGCTGTTCTTGCAGAGAAGAAAAAAGTCAAGTATTTGGTGAATCCCAACAGATGTATGAAGCAGAAATCAAAAACAGCCCCTCTCTTCAGCCAGTTCTGCCACTCATAATGGGGGAGGATGCTTAATGCATATAAATTATGCTTTTATTATTTATCTTCTATCACAACACAAGGCCTTGTAAATGTTGTCGCTGCCCTCATTCTTCCCTTCCCCCTGAGACAATAATTATCTGTAAATCTACACTGAAACCACCATTTTTGGTTCTTGCTCCATATTTCTTGGTAGATCTTTACTGGGCTTGCTTCTAAAAGCCATTTTTGTCACCAGCTGTTCCTGTTTTAGGTGTGACGTTCTAATTTGACATCTCATTAATGACGCTGTTTTTTTATTTGCAGTCTGAAAGCAATGGCATTGCAAATGGAAGTGCTGCAAAGAATTCCACAGCAGTTGATGACAAGAAAACAGCTTAAAGGAGTTAATTCCTAAGGATTTTACTCCCTCATGTCCAGTATGAACTGCTGATATTCCTCTCACTTTGAGACTTTTTTCTTTGCACATTTTAGCTGAATAAAAACTTTATTGCTTGCAGGAGGAGGTCTCTTTTGTCACTAAAATGGCAGCTGGCTCATTTGTTTATTTAAAATATTTGAAAGCTGAAGTTCTTTTTATTTTCTTTGCTGGAACTACTTTTCATCTACCATCTGTTTGGTGTGATTAGAGTTTAGGTTAAATAAGAATAAATCTATCTGTAGAAGGTAAATGTATCTTAGCATCTTGATGTCACTAAGTGCTAGTGCAGTACTTGAGGCTTTCACCTTAAAGGCTTTATCTGTTCTTGGTGAAGAACTGTGGACTGCATTGTGACAAAAGCTCATAATTTATCTGTGAAGAATTGAGATTTTTCATGTCAAATCTGTGGATGAGCTAAAGGAGTTATACTATATACAGAATTTACTTAGCTTACTAAAAGCAGAAAGTCTTGATGTGATACTTCCCTTAATTATTTTCCTTGAAATATGCCTTTTTTTTCCTGAAGAGGAGCAGCAGAGGCATGATGCAAGAGAATGTTGCTTTATGTTCTGTTGTAGTGATTTTAAATGGTGCAGTTCTGGCTTTAAAAAAAAAAAAATCCAACTAAAACCTCTTTAACATGCTTGTGGAATTTTCATTACAATAAACCAGAATTTTACTTAAAAATAAGTCGCTTCATGCAGTTATTACACAGAATCACAGCATTCTTAGTGCTCAGAGCTATAAACACTTAAAATGGTGACAAAATCTTTGAAAACCTGGAGACAGACCCCCGGCACAAGGAAGTCCTAAAATAACTGAGTTCACTGGGCAAGCTTTTACTTCCTCCTGGGAAGATGGATTCTGCTGCTGACTTGCATCCCAGCTGTGAAGGGTTTTAAATGTCCCTGTGCTTAGTAAGGAATAAAAGTGGTAATTCCTGCTTTTTCCTGTCTGCCAAACCAGAGAGCTCTTTAAAAGATTAAAAAGGAAACCATTCCAGCAGTTTTAGATTGTTTCTTATGATTTAATTTCCCTAAAATCCTCCCTCAGGCAGGCCTAAAAATGCACCTTTTTATACAGGCAGTCCCTGAACTGTCACTATGGTCCAGTCTTATTCTTGTGACTGATTCCTTTCACCAGTTAATTAACTGCTCTGGTATCTAATTTTGTCCAGTGCCCCTGCAGAGATGCCTCATTTCCTACCAGTGCCTGATTTGGTCAGAGCTGGTGTGAATTGATCCACAGCATTCACAGCTCTGCCGCTGTAGCCACAACCATGACTTTGCAATGAGCTGGGGCACAGACACCTCCGTGTTAATGACATTGATTAATGCTGTTTGCTCTTCCTTAACGAGCCACTCTGTTCGGACCTGAGTTTGGAATTGCTGTCTAACCAGCTCTTGTCTCATCTTTGGAACATAACCCCCATCAGATCAGTGAATCCCAGGATCACTTAGGTCAGAAAAGACCATCAAGTCCAACCTGTGACCAATCCCCACCACGTCACCAGCCCAGAGCACTGAGTGCCACATCCACTCATTCCTTGGACAGCTCCAGGGATGGGAACTCCAACACCTCCCTGGGCAGCCCCTTTCAATGCCTGAACCCTCCTTCCATGGGGAAATTCCTGCTGCTGTCCCCCCTGTCCCTGCCCTGGCCCAGCCTGAGGCCGTTCCCTCTCCTCCTGTCCCTGTTCCCTGGCAGCACAGCCCGACCCCCCCGGCTGTCCCCTCCTGCCAGGGACTTGTGCAGAGCCACAAGGGCCCCCTGAGCCTCCTTTTCTCCAGGCTGAGCCCCTTTCCCAGCTCCCTCAGCCGCTCCTGGGGCTCCAGCCCCTTCCCCAGCTCCGTTCCCTGCCCTGGACACGCTCCAGCCCCTCCATGTCCTTTTTGTCACAAAGGGCCCAAAACTGGACACAGGATTGGAGATTCCCCAGTCATGCCCAGTCCAAGCTGCAGCTCTACAGCTAAATAAGAATATGTGTTCTGACTCCTGAGCATTGCTGAAGAGATTATCCCTTCCATGCTGTTTTAACATGCTGGGCATCTCATAAACAGACCAGAGAGTGTATTTACCTCTAAACAGCTGTGAACACAACAAAAAGTACATCAGGAGCATTACTGGGGCTCCTTTGATCTGTAAATGTACTCATTTATAAATTTATGAAGTCTCCATAATTCATTTTTTAAAATTACTTAGGATATTATTACAGAAGGAAATGCATTGAATAATAACATAGAAAATAAAGTGTATAGTACATTAGATTGCAGGCAGCACCAGGCTTCCAGCTGTGCACCAGCACTGTTTTAAACACCAGGCCTTCTGCAAAAGAAGGCCTTTTCTGAAAAAACCGCAAAAACTAAAACAGGCAGATAACGCAAAAAAAGATTATACATTTGTGGTGGCTGGAATGGTGTTCCACTGCTTTTCTTAGCTGCAGTTAAACCCTAAAGTGAGCAATGTACATCACAAAACTTTATGAGGCACTTCACTGAAGTCCTGTCAAGAGATTTGTGTTATAACTCTTCTGGCCCAATTCTTTTTCAAGAATAGGTCAATAATCCTGTTGTGTTGTGAATAGTTAAATAAAAATCAAGTGAAAACAAAGGCCCAAGTCTGGACTGGAGTGCATGAGGTCGTCTGCTGGGATGCAAAGGAGTGCACAAAGCCTTTAAGAAAAATAAGCAGGTGGAAATTAAGGGAATTCTCATGTGAGGGAATAATATTGATCAAGTGAGTTGAATTTCACTGAGAAAATTCCCATGTGCTTGTTTCTTGCTAAAAACAAGATTTACAAAAGGTTTAGGCACCTGATGGTGGCATGTGGGCATCTTCCAGAATTTCCTAGACCAAGTATCAGCTTTATTTACACTGAAGACTTCTAGAAAATTTCAGAATTGGCATCTTTAGGGGATCAAAGTACTGCAAATCTAGACCTAAGTTCTACAGCATTAAACTTGTCTGGCTTTATTTAAATACTATTGAGGAAATATAAATAAATCAATATTTGAAAAAACATCATTCAAATAAACTAATTTCAAGTATTTTTTTTCTTAATGGGAAAGTCTTATTGGGTTGTGGTACCTTTAGTATGCTGGTTTGCAGAAGTTGCTGGTTGCCAAGAAGTTAATTGAAAACCACATTTTTAAAAATGCAAGTATATGCCAAAAATTCTTAAATAAAAATGAATTAATTTTTTGTTGCTGATTATTTTGATGGGCTTTATCCTGCTGCTAAGAATGTCTAAACTGAAAATAAAGTTAATTTCTGATCTAATGACAGTAACATTATGCTGTTATTACCCAGATATAGCAATCATGTCCCAGCTCAATTCTGGGAGCTGTTGGACTAGCTGCTGAGGTTCTCAAGAGTCACTCCTTCATGATTTCTGTACAAAACAGAACAGTTCTGTAGAGTCCTGTACAGAACATTGTTGCTGAAAGAAAAGTGGCTTCAGAGGTTGCAGGTAAAGGAAATTAAGAGAAATGTAATTTACACTTAGGTTAACTAAAATCTCCTTCAGTGAGAAATAATTCTGTTCCATTAAACTGCCTAAGACATGAAAGAAGGGATTATCTTATTTGTGCAGTTGTCTGATTGTTAGAGCATACGTACTGGACCAAATCATATTTTGGTTGTAACAGACTGCCATTATTCCTGTTTTCAGTGAACCTGGCTGCAGTAATTTAATTGGAAAGGTCCAGAGGGCCATGTTTGCCATGGTGATTCTTTTGTGTTAGAAATGCTTTTAGATAGTAGTGCTGTATCTTTCTTTCACTGTTGTTTTAGAATTGTAGAATGGCTTGGGTTGAATGGGGCTTAAATCTCATCCAGTCCCACCCCTGCCATGGGCAGGGACACCTTTCACTGTCCCAGATTGCTCCAAGCCCTGTCCAGCCTGGCCTTGGCACCACAGTGAAACATAAATTGACATGTTGTGAAATAGACGTGTTTGTACACCCACTGGCATAGCAATGCTTGTTTTTTGCATGGGGATTGCTCCAGACAAACCTTTCCTTTGGGCACATGGTGTTTCTTAGCCATGCTGTTGACCATGCAGCACCTCTATGGCCGCAGCCGTTCCTGTTGTTATAAATTAAATTAGAATTTTGACAACTAGGTCTTTTGAGTTAAAAAGTTTAATTAAAAATTAATACAATTTAGTAAATTAAATAGTAATTTGGTATAAAAGAATACAGTATAGTAAAATAATACAATTTAGTAAAAATTACAATTTATATATATAATTTGCCAGTAATTAAGTATGATTAAAGCATAAGCAAAACCGACTGGGGTACAGGGAGGGCTTCTCACACCACCTCACGTACAAAACTGGCCGGGGTACGGAGGCTTCCCACCCTGCCTCTTGTACAAAACAAAGCACTTCAAGCTAAACTTATATACTGTGTGCTTATACATATTCATTAATGTTTCCCATAAGTTTCCTCCTATTTCCGATTTTTCTAACTTTACGTCACTATTCTTCATGGCATATGCTTCACTTGTTGTTAGGGGGTCTTCAGTCTTCTTTTGGTGGTCTTTTGGTGAAGGCTTCTCTTCTTCCTCATTGTCCTTTTGATGGCCTCACAGGTTTGCATGTGTGTACTAAGTGCTGTGTTTGGTTACTACTAATTAGTCTTATATATACTGGTTTTTAGGCCCAATGCCTAAAGTCATTCTAATTTTGTCCATCTGAAGGCCATTTCCATCTTGGGACATCACTTATCTTCCAAACTACATCCTGTACCTCAGTTTTAACATGTAACATCTGCAAAGGGGTGCATCTGCCTTGTAACACTGATTATTTTGATAGCTTCCTATAATAACTTTAATAACAGTTACAATTTAGTTAGGACAAATCAACTCCACGTATTACACCGTCAAGTGCTGTGTGAACACCAGGCCAAGCCCCAGAGGAGGACTGTTGCTGTGTGTGGCAGTGTTTACCCAGGGTTACACCCCACCCATGCTGTTTGCAGACCTGCTGTTGGCATGCTCAGCCCAGGGACCTGTGAGAGCCCGCCGGGGATTTGCTGTCACACACCACGTGGAATGTGGGAATAAACTCAGAACTACAGTGGAAAGGGTTTGCCTTTTAATGAGCCCTCGGAAACCTGCTGTTGATGGCACAAAACACACTTTAGAGGTTACCCTTGGAGAAGCAATGATTTAAAGCAGCACAAGGCCAGGATGAGGCCTGCTAAATCGTCCCACCCTCAGACATTCACTGTTGGTCCCATTTGCTGGGCTTACCTCATGTCCCACTGAAAATGTGGGATGTAGAGTAGGGAATCAGAATATTCCCAGAACGGTTTGGGTTGGAAGGGACCTTAAGATCATCCAATCCCACCCCCTGCCATGGACGGGGACACCTTCCAGTGTGCCAGGCTGCTCCAAGCCCTGTCCAGCCTGGCCTTGGACACTGCAGGGATCCAGGGGCAGCCCCAGCTGCTCTGGGCACCCTGTGCCA